GGCTTGGAAATCGACCGATCTGGCTTGGAAATCGACCGATCTGGCTTGGAAATCGACCGATCTGGCTTGGAAATCGACCGATCTGGCTTGGAAATCGGCTAATCCGGCTTGGAAATCGACCAAGAAACCAGGTGGGCTACCATTTCAAATTTTCTACATCAGTATCTCTCACTCTTCACAGGTGGAGACATGATCACCACATACAAGATTCTCAGGGGAATTTGACAGGGTAAACAAGGATGGATTATTTAACGCCGCTCTGCTCACTCCTATCCCAACATTCCTGTGGGATGGGAGGACACGGAAGGTACGGGATGGGCAACCGCGGTCATTCTGTCCCATATTAAATCTTGCCCCTAGGCTGAGTTTATTGGGCAGCGTCACTCATCCTGTGAGTGGACACACCGCCATAGTGAGAGTATTGGGCAGCGTCACTCATCCTGTGAGTGGACACACCGCCATAGTGACAGTATTGGGCAGCGTCACTCATCCTGTGAGTGGACACACCGCCATAGTGACAGTATTGGGCAGCGTCACTCATCCTGTGAGTGGACACACCGCCATAGTGACAGTATTGGGCAGCGTCACTCATCCTGTGAGTGGACACACCGCCATAGTGACAGTATTGGGCAGCGTCACTCATCCTGTGAGTGGACACACCGCCATAGTGACAGTATTGGGCAGCGTCACTCATCTTGTGAGTGGACACACCGCCATAGTGACAGTATTGGGCAGCGTCACTCATCCTGTGAGTGGACACACGCCAGTGACAGTATTGGGCAGCGTCACTCATCTTGTGAGTGGACACACCGCCATAGTGACAGTATTGGGCAGCGTCACTCATCTTGTGAGTGGACACACCGCCATAGTGACAGTATTGGGCAGCGTCACTCATCTTGTGAGTGGACACACCGCCATAGTGACAGTATTGGGCAGCGTCACTCATCCACACCGCCATAGTGAGTATTGGGCAGCGCCACTCATCCTGCACACCGCCATAGTGACAGTATTGGGCAGCGTCACTCATCTTGTGAGTGGACACACCGCCATAGTGACAGTATTGGGCAGCGTCACTCATCACTGTGAGTGGACACACCGCCATAGTGACAGTATTGGGCAGCGTCACTCATCCTGTGAGTGGACACACCGCCATAGTGACAGTATTGGGCAGCGTCACTCATCTTGTGAGTGGACACACCGCCATAGTGACAGTATTGGGCAGCGTCACTCATCTTGTGAGTGGACACACCGCCATAGTGACAGTATTGGGCAGCGTCACTCATCTTGTGAGTGGACACACCGCCATAGTGACAGTATTGGGCAGCGTCACTCATCATGTGAGTGGACACACCGCCATAGTGACAGTATTGGGCAGCGTCACTCATCCTGTGAGTGGACACACCGCCATAGTGACAGTATTGGGCAGCGTCACTCATCCTGTGAGTGAACACACCGCCATAGTGACAGTATTGGGCAGCGTCACTCATCCTGTGAGTGGACACACCGCCATAGTGACAGTATTGGGCAGCGCCACTCATCCTGTGAGTGGACACACCGCCATAGTGACAGTATTGGGCAGAGCCACTCATCCTGTGAGTGGACACACCGCCATAGTGACAGTATTGGGCAGCGTCCACTCATCCTGTGAGTGGACACACCGCCATAGTGACAGTATTGGGCAGCGCCACTCATCCTGTGAGTGGACACACCGCCATAGTGACAGTATTGGGCAGCCTGTGAGTGGACACACTCATCATCCTGTGAGTGAACACACCGCCATAGTGACAGTATTGGGCAGCGTCACTCATCCTGTGAGTGAACACACCGCCATAGTTACAGTATTGGGCAGCGTCACTCATCCTGTGAGTGAACACACCGCCATAGTTACAGTATTGGGCAGCGTCACTCATCCTGTGAGTGGACACACCGCCATAGTGACAGTATTGGGCAGCGCCACTCATCCTGTGAGTGAACACACCGCCATAGTGACAGTATTGGGCAGCGCCACTCATCCTGTGAGTGGACACACCGCCATAGTGACAGTATTGGGCAGCGTCACTCATCCTGTGAGTGGACACACCGCCATAGTGACAGTATTGGGCAGCGCCACTCATCCTGTGAGTGGACACACCGCCATAGTGACAGTATTGGGCAGCGTCACTCATCCTGTGAGTGGACACACCGCCATAGTGACACTCCCGCCACAAAATGTGCCCAGGTGTGCATCGCGGCTCCTTAACTGAGGAATATGAAGTAAGACTGAAAGAACTAGACCTGTTGTCGTCAGAAAATAAATATTGAGAGAGAGAGACAGAGAGAGAGAGAGAGAGAGAGAGAGAGAGAGAGAGAGAGAGAGAGAGAGAGAGAGAGAGAGAGAGAGAGAGAGAGAGAAGGGAAAGTAGAAAGGAAGAGCAACAGCAAGCCGAAGAACGGGAGACAGAAGAGGAGGAAGAGAAGGAGGAGCTAACAAAGAAGAGATTAATCATTATGATGAAGAGAAGATGTTGCTTCTATTATAAACCTGTATTCCTCCAAGCTCATGTTAATATGTCACAGCTTCCTGCACAGACCTTTCACCGCTGCTACACAATGGTGAGCCCTGGTGCTACCCTGTGATCCACGGGGCTCTTGGTGCTCGTGTTCCCTGTGGCTACTGTTCTTCTTCAGCCCAGTCATCACACGAGCTGTTGCTGCTCATGACTAGATGAGCTCGTGATCATGGCACTGCTAGTCTTCCAGAGGATTTGGGTCGTCCACAGTGAAGGGATGTGCCACGTTATCCAGCAATATGGTGTGTGTGTGTGTGTGTGTGTGTGTGTGTGTGTGTGTGTGTGTACTCACCTATTTGTACTCACCTATTTGTGCTTGCGGGGGTTGAGCTTTGGCTCTTTACAATACAATACAATTTTATTTAGGTAAGGTACATACATACAATAAATATTTACACGGATTGTTTGACTTATAGGTATAGCTAGTACATACAATGCCTAAAGCCACTATTACGCAAAGCGTTTCGGGCATGATAAACTTAAATGACAAGCTTAATACTAATTGAGCATAATGAGTAGAATGAAAACAAGAAATGAAAACATAGATGAAAAAGCAGCACAAATACAATTATGTCGACAAACAGCGCTCTTTAAAGAAAAAAAACAGACATTGGTTGACAATAGAAGGGTAAGGTAGGTTACAGGGAATTTATTAGGTATAGCTTCGCTTTTAACTTAAACTGGTTGAGAGAGGTACAGTCTTTAACATGGTTGGGAAGGTCATTCCACATTCTGGGCCCCTTGATTTGTAGAGCATTTCTAGTTTGATTAAGTCGTACTCTAGGAATATCAAAACTGTATTTATTTCTGGTGTGATGCTCATGGGTTCTGATACAACCTTCTATGAAGCTTTTGAGATCAGGATTGGCATTATAGTTTAGCGTTTTATATATGTATAATACACATGAGAGAATGTGCAGTGACTTAATGTCTAACATATTCAGAGATTTGAGTAGGGGTACCGAGTGATGTCTGGGGCCAGAGTTGGATATTGTCCTGATAGCAGCTTTGTGTTGAGTAATTAGAGGACGTAAGTGATTTTGGGTAGTAGAGCCCCAAGCACAAATACCATAGTTGAGATATGGATAGATAAGGGAGTAATAGAGAGTCACCAGGGCAGGGCGTGGTACATAATATCTGATCTTAGAAAGAATGCCAACAGTTTTTGAAACTTTTTTTTGATATATTTAGAATGTGTCCCTGGAAATTCAGCTTGTGGTCAATGAGAATGCCAAGGAATTTGCCATCTAATTCATTACAAATTTGGGTATTGTTTATTTTGAGATTTATTTGACTAGAGGATTTATTGCCAAACAGAATATAGAAAGTTTTGTCAATGTTAAGGGTGAGTTTGTTGGCAGTTAGCCACAGATGGACTTTATTTAGCTCAGTATTTACTGTGGCATTTAGAGCAAGGGGATCAGGACTGGAGTAAATGAAGGTTGTGTCGTCAGCAAATAGAATTGGTTTGAGGTGTTGGGAGGCATTTGGAAGGTCATTAATGTAGATGAGAAAGAGGAGAGGGCCAAGTATGCTGCCCTGAGGAACACCAATGTTGATGGGTAGGGTGGGAGAAATTGTATTATTCACAGAAACATATTGGAGCCTGTCAGTAAGGTAGGATTTGAGGTATTGTAGGGAGTGTCCTCTGACTCCATAATGATGTAATTTAAGAAGAAGGTTTTGGTGGTTGACAGTATCAAAAGCTTTACGCAGGTCCACAAACAACCCAACAGGGTCTGAAGCCATATTGGCAAGGGCTAAGTATATTGAGTTTGGCTAGATATGAGTAAAGCTACTTATAGATTAGTTTTTCAAAAATTTTTGACAAGTTTGGCAGGATAGATATAGGTCCCGCCTCTCAACTGTCAATCAACAGGTGTACAGATTCCTGAGCCTACTGGGCTCTATCATATCTACATTATAAACTGTGTATGGAGTTAGCCTCCACCACATCACTGCCTAATGCATTCCATCTGTTAACTACTCTGACACTGAAAAAGTTCCTTCTAACGTCTCTGTGGCTCATGTGGGTACTCAGTTTCCACCTGTGTCCCCTTGTTCGCGTCCCACCAGTGTTGAATAGTTTATCCTTGTTTACCCGGTCGATTCCTCTGAGGATTTTGTAGGTTGTGATCATGTCTCCCCTTACTCTTCTGTCTTCCAGTGTCGTAAGGTGCATTTCCCGCAGCCTTTCCTCGTAACTTATGCCTCTTAGTTCTGGGACTAGTCTAGTGGCATACCTTTGGACTTTTTCCAGCTTCGTCTTGTGCTTGACAAGGTACGGGCTCCATGCTGGGGCCGCATACTCCAGGATTGGTCTTACATATGTTGTGTACAAGATTCTGAATGATTCCTTACACAGGTTCCTGAACGCTGTTCTGTGTGTGTGTGTGTGTGTGTGTGTGTGTGTGTGTGTGTGTGTGTGTGTGTGTGTGTGTGTGCACGTACCTTATCCAGGAGATGGTAGCACCTAGCTGTATCTTCAAGACGGTCTCTAGTATGATGAAGACGGTCTGTGAACTGCGTCAGGTGAAGATGTAAAGCTCTCGCCAGCTCCTTCACGCTGGCCTCCGTCTCCCCAACCGTCGCCGCCTCCTCCAGCAGCGCCCCGCCCTTCTCCAGGTGGCGCTGAAACAGAGAAAAGTTCGTGTTAATATTACACAGTTTCCTTATTAAGGCTACTCATTGCCCAGTCGATACAGCGTCTTTCTATAGCCCTGGGGCCTGATTCACCAAGCAGTTACGCAAGCATTTACGAACCTGGGGCCTGATTCACCAAGCAGTTACGCAAGCATTTACGAACCTGGGGCCTGATTCACCAAGCAGTTACGCAAGCATTTACGAACCTGGGGCCTGATTCACGAAGCTGATACGCAAGCATTTACGAACCTGGGGCCTGATTCACGAAGCTGTTACGCAAGCATTTACGAACCTGGGGCCAGATTCACCAAGCAGTTACGCAGGCACTTACGAACCTGGGGCCTGATTCACGAAGCTGTTACGCAAGCATTTACGAACCTGGGGCCTGATTCACGAAGCTGTTACGCAAGCATTTACGAACCTGGGGCCAGATTACGCAAGCACTTACGAACCTGGGGCCAGATTCACAAAGTGTGTGTATGTATATGTATGTGTGTGTGTGTGTGTGTGTGTGTGTGTGTGTGTGTGTGTGTGTGTGTGTGTGTGTGTGTGTGTGTGTGTGTTTGTACTCACCTAGTTGTGCTTGCGGGGGTTGAGCTCTGGCTCTTTGGTCCCGCCTCTCAAATGTCAATCAACTTTCTTTTTAAGCACCTCCAAAGGATACCTATTTTTTTTTCAGGGATATTCCTGCGCGGGCCCTAAGCCTCTGGCTGGCCCACTACCTGATCAACCAGGCTGTGACTCATACGTCAGGCTGCAAGCAGCCGCGTCCAACAGCCTGGTTGACCAGTCCAGCAACCAGGTGGCACGGAGACCGGGCCGCGGGGACGCTAAGCCGCGAAATCACCTCAAGGTAACCTCATATGGTAACTGGAGAACTGCCCGACTGCCGGAAAATAGCTACTGTGGTACCAATCAAGAGGTAAACTATAGACCCGTATCACTAGTCCCCTTACAAGGTGCTTGAGAGCAAGCACGAACAGCCTGCTGGAACACTTACACAAAATAAGAGATTACTTAGATCTCAAGGCTCCAGGGATGGTCAGGGATGGTCAGGGATGGGCAGGGATGGTCAGGGATGGGTAGGGATGGGCAGGGATGGTCAGGGATGGTCAGGGATGGTCAGGGATGGTCAGGGACGGTCAGGGACGGTCAGGGATGGGCAGGGATGGTCAGGGATGGACAGGGATGGTCAGGGATGGACAGGGATGGTCAGGGATGGTCAGGGATGGACAGGGATGGACAGGGATGGTCAGGGATGGTCAGGGATGGTCAGGGATGGACAGGGATGGTCAGGGATGGTCAGGGATGGTCAGGGATGGCCAGGGATGGCCAGGGATGGACAGGGATGGACAGGGATGGTCAGGGATGGACAGAAATGGGTATGGATAGGAAGAGATGGACAGGGATGGACAGGGATGGTCAGGCATGGTCAGGGATGGACAGGGATGGTCAGGGATGGACAGGGATGGTCAGGGATGGACAGGGATGGACAGGGATGGTCAGGGATGGTCAGGGATGGACAGGGATGGTCAGGGATGGACAGGGATGGTCAGGGATGGGCAGGGATGGTCAGGGATGGACAGGGATGGTCAGGGATGGTCAGGGATGGTCAGGGATGGCCAGGGATGGACAGGGATGGACAGGGATGGTCAGGGATGGACAGGGATGGTCAGGGATGGTCATGGATGGTCAGGGATGGTCAGGGATGGTCAGGGATGGACAGGGATGGTCATGGATGGTCAGGGATGGTCAGGGATGGACAGGGATGGACAGGGATGGTCAGGGATGGTCAGGGATAATCATGGATGGTCAGGGATGGTCAAGGATGGTCAGGGATGGACAGGGATGGTCAGGGATGGTCAGGGATGGTCAGGGATGGACAGGGACGGTCAGGGATGGTCAGGGATGGTCAGGGATGGTCAGGGATGGACAGGGATGGTCATGGATGGTCAGGGATGGACAGGGATGGTCAGGGATGGTCAGGGATGGTCAGGGATGGACAGGGATGGTCAGGGATGGTCAGGGATGGACAGGGATGGACAGGGATGGTCAGGGATGGTCAGGGATGGTCAGAGATGGTCAGGGATGGTCAGGGATGGACAGGGATGGTCAGGGATGGTCAGGGATGGTCAGGGATGGACAGGGATGGTCATGGATGGACAGGGATGGGCAGGGATGGTCAGGGATGGTCAGGGATGGTCAGCGATGGTCAGGGATGGTCAGGGATGGTCAGGGATGGTCAGGGATGGTCAGGGATAGACAGGGATGGTCAGGGATGGTCAGGGATGGCCAGGGATGGTCAGGGATGGACAGGGATGGGCAGGGATGATCAGGGATGGTCAGGGATGGTCAGGGATGGTCAGGGATAGACAGGGATGGTCAGGGATAGACAGGGATGGTCAGGAATGGTCAGGGATGGTCAGGGATAGACAGGGATGGTCAGGGATGGACAGGGATGGTCAGGGATGGTCAGAGATGGGCAGGGATGGTCAGGGATAGACAGGGATGGTCAGGGATAGACAGGGATGGTCAGGGATGGTTAGGGATAGACAGGGATGGGCAGGGATGGTCAGGGATAGACAGGGATGGTCAGGGATGGTCAGGGATGGACAGGGATGGACAGGGATGGACAGGGATGGTCAGGGATGGACAGGGATGGTCAGGGATGGTCAGAGATGGTCAGGGATAGACAGGGATGGTCAGGGATGGACAGGGATGGACAGGGATGGACAGGGATGGACAGGGATGGTCAGGGATGGTCAGGGATGGTCAGGGATGGACAGGGATGGACAGGGATGGTCAGGGATGGACAGGGATGGACAGGGATGGACAGGGATGGACAGGGATGGACAGGGATGGTCAGGGATGGACAGGGATGGTCAGGGATGGACAGGGATAGACAGGGATGGTCAGGGATGGTCAGGGATAGACAGGGATGGGCAGGGATGGTCAGGGATGGTCAGGGATGGACAGGGATGGTCAGGGATGGACAGGGATGGTCAGGGATGGACAGGGATGGACAGGGATGGACAGGGATGGTCAGGGATGGACAGGGATGGTCAGGGATGGTCAGGGATGGACAGGGATGGACAGGGATGGACAGGGATGGACAGGGATGGACAGGGATGGTCAGGGATGGGCAGGGATGGACAGGGATGGGCAGGGATGGACAGGGATGGGCAGGGATGGACAGGGATGGACAGGGATGGACAGGGATGGTCAGGGATGGTAAGGGAGTACCACCCACACCTCACAATATCAATATATTAATATTCCTGTCGCCTGCAGTTTACAAGGTCAGTTTCACTTGCATACAAAGACAGATTGACACTATTTGTTGGCACTCTTGGTTAGTGCCAAGAGCCGACACTCTTGGTTAGTGCCAAGAGCCGACACTCTTGGTTAGTGCCAAGAGCCGACACTCTTGGTTAGTGCCAAGAGCCGACACTCTTGGTTAGTGCCAAGAGCCGACACTCTTGGTTAGTGCCAAGAGCCGACACTCTTGGTTAGTGCCAAGAGCCGACACTCTTGGTTAGTGCCAAGAGCCGACACTCTTGGTTAGTGCCAAGAGCCGACACTCTTGGTTAGTGCCAAGAGTCGACACTCTTGGTTAGTGCCAAGAGTCGACACTCTTGGTTAGTGCCAAGAGCCAACACTCTTGGTTGTCGCTGAGAACTTAAACAAGAGAGAGAAGGAAGGGTAGACTGCATATTCCTCGACTGCCAGAAAGCATTTGATAAGGTCCCCGCATGAAAGACTTCCACTCAAACAAGAGAAACAGGCTGGTGGATGTGAAAGAGGCGTCAGGTGGGCCAGAGAGTACCTCCCAGGAAGGAAACAGAGGGTTACAGTGAGAGCTGAGACATCAGAGTGGGGGGAAAGGTTACAAGAGGAGTGCCGCAAGGGTCCGTTCAAGGGGGCCCATCCTGATTCTGAAACATGTGAACGATCTGACAGGAATTTAGCTCGTATCAGGATTGAGGTAGATTGCCAGGCATTGTAAACAATGGGATGGGCAGGGATGGGCCCATCCCTGATTTGGATGGATAAAACGGATTTGGACACATTGCAGAAGTGGTGTCATAAGTGGCTGCTAGAGTTTAACCCAGACAAATGCAATGTTATAAGGAATGGAACACGCTTGTGAAGACCAGTGGAACAGTACAGGGTGAAGACTGACTCTTCAATCAGGAAAGACCTGAGAGTGGACATAACCCCAAGGTAACATCAAGGTAACCTCAAAGTAACGTCAAGGTAACCTCTAGGTAACCTCAAGGTAACCTCGAGATAACCTAGAGATAACCTCGAGATAACGTCAAGGTAACCTCAAGGTAACGTCAAGGTAACCTCAAGGTAACCCCAAGGTAACGTCAAGGTAACCTCGAGATAACCTAGAGATAACCGTAAGGTAAGGTAACCCCACATTAGCAGACTATCAACAGCTGCATATGGCACACTGACCAACATCAGTAATCTGGAGAAAGGAGCTTCCAGGGACCTATATATAGCGCTGGTGAGACGCACACTTGAATATGCAGCGCCAGCATGGAACCCTAATCTGAAGGACAAGAAGAAACTAGAAAAAGTTCAGAGATATGCAACAAGACTCGTTCCTGAGTTGAAGGGCTTAAGCTATGAGGAAAGACTGAGGGAACTGGTCGTTACAGCACTAGAGGAGAGATATGGGGGGGGACATGATACAACCCGTTCTCGCAAATTCGTAAAGTCAATATTGCCTTATTAACTACGTGCATAGGTGATATACTAAACATAATAGATACCCCTAAAAAGATTCATAGAAAACACCGACCTTACCTAACCTTGTTAGTATCTTAAGATAAGCATCTTATTGCTTCGTAATTACAATTATTACTTAACCTATACCTATTATAGGTTAGGTAATAATTGTAATTACGAAGCAATAAGATGCTTATCTTAACATACTAAGTAGGTTAGGTAAGGTCGGTGTTTTCTATGAATCTTTTTAAGGGTATCTATTATGTTAAGTATGTCACCTATGCACATATTTAATAAGTCAAT